CATACTTTTCTTAATGAGCTGTAATTTTAAAAATATGTAAATAACAATATGATATTTTGTGATGAAAATATATATTTTCATGAGAGTATGATTGGTCAATTGAGGTTGTTTCACAATACTAAATGGCACCCATCACCCACTTTAGAATTGTAGTTATTTCGACTGATTGAACGGGTTCTTTATTCTATCTTGTTTAGGTTCTTTCGACAATGTTGATGCACACGTATTAATGGAGGCGACAAACCTGCAGCAATTTGAATTGTATAACTAAAATGACGAAATTGAATATATGCTTAGCTCCTTTCGCTTAAGAATCTCAAGAATATACATTCCATGAAGAACCTTAAGAAAAGTATTTTTTTGAAACACTTGTTTCAATTTTGATGAATTAAGATATATGAAAATAATATTTTGGATTATTTCTTCACTTGACTTTGAAGTCACGGAGTCAATTTCTTTTAGATTCAACCAAAATCACAAATCAGATAGATTCATAGATTTGATACCTTGTCTTGAACTTATGTTTGAAAGACTTATTGTTTCTCATGTCTTCTTAAACATCAAAATGGCAATAACTGTGGGTAGTGTTACAATGGCGATGCTATGTGCACAACGATAGGCACAATTATATGCATTATATGATATTTGCTACAAGTTTTTCATGATGTTTATAATATTATGAAGATTAAACGAGAACTGTCTAATTTGAACATTATGTTCAAATAAGCATGAAGGTTCAAAGAAATTGGACTTGAGTTTAGTTGACATATTATAAGTTAAAATATCCATTAAGTTGAAGAAATTTTTGTGTTAAAAATTAATATTTTAACTTGTAATATGTCAATTAAGTTGCCTACGTATCTCATATCTTGGAATCAAAGTCCTCGTAGTTCTCTTTTTTTACTTACCTTGATAAAAGTAGATAGGATGATTGAACCGACTGTATAGTAATTGAAGTCGTAGGTCTCCTAGTCCTCTTTATTTTTTGCGGTTCCACTAGTACTAGTAGTACTAGTGAAATCGGATGTCTCTTCTTCTTTTAGCCTCTAGGTTTTGTGGTGTCAACCTCAACCGTCGTGCCTCCAACGTATAACCTTCCTCACTTAATGTTTGTTCAACCGCCATTGTTGAGGTCGCGACATTGAAAATCTCCTTGGCCATCAAGCATGAAATATGATAAATGAGAGTCATCTTTGACCACAAATCCAATATATCGAATTTTTGCGACTGGACTGGTTCATAAGTAATCGTAAGTATCAAACTAGTCGTGAGGTAGTGATCGAGCTCACTGTATTAAGCCATCTTTTCCCTTTGGATCGTATAAGTTTTTTAGGGATTAAAATTGTCTTCCCACCAGTCACCAAAGTTTTAGGTATCCCGCGTTGTCTATCCCCATTGTCCATAAGAAGAAGACCCGAAAGCAGTAGAAGAAAATGACGCTGGATTTTTCCCGAGTCCGATTGTTGTTTTTCTAAAAAAATCATACAGTAAAAATTTTGCTTGCTCGACGAGCTGCCGTAGGTTAGGCCTTATATGATAGCCGGGACACCAGTGGGAATGGAGTTGATACATAATATCATAATGTGTGAAGTTGGTTGAGTAACTCATTTTCACGTAATGAAGGATCTAACAAAGACGCAACAATATATCGGGAATGAAAAACTAATATTTTAACAATTTTTTTAACATTTATCTTACAAGTTCGTCTTGTTTGTCTGGATCACTAGCAAAAATATCTGTTAAACCCCACATTACGGCTACATGACTTGCAACAAGTTGATTAATATGATAGTAAACACCAGAAAGTACGTTAATAGCATCTTGAAATATTTCTAAAAGTTTCAAAAGTGTTTGACAATCTAACCAATTAGAGACAACAACAGTGACATCACAATCCTTACGCTGAGAACTCTTAAAATTTATCTAATTGATAAGAAAATGCAAATGTTTCCATAAACATTTTATAAGCTGAGTTCCAAAAGGTTGGAACGCCCGGTTGGAATTTTCTAGATGTTATACCTTTTTCTTTACAAAAATGTCCCCATTTTTTTTTATTTCTTGTGGAACATTCCTAATGAGCGCGACCAACTCTTTCAAGTCATGATAACCCGCTTGAACACAAAGATTAAAGGTATGACATATACATTCTCCCCCCTAAATGGGACAATAAATTTCCTTAAGCTCGGGTATAGATACAATATTAGCATTAGCATTATCAAAAGAAATGAAAAAAATGTTTTTTTACCAATTTTATAACTATTCAAGACACGTGAAATTAAACGAGCGATTTTAGAAGCAATATGAGCATTAGAAAATCCCGTATAAGCAACTAATGTTTTTGTAATGTAAAACTATTATTTACCCAATGACAAGTAATTTCCATGTAAAAATTATCTTGCCAATAGTTGGACCAAATGCCAAAACAAATAAAAATTCTTCGGTTTAAGGTTTCAAAAGTTTGCGCCACAATTATTTTTTTCTCACTCACAATTTTTCGAGTATCATGAGTGAGAGCAGTACGTGGAACTGAAGACACAATCAGGTTTAAAGCCATTTGAGCAAAACTTTCATATAAATCAGAATCAACAAAACCGAAAGGAAGAGACAAAGTAGAAACAAATTCAACTAATTTTTTTCTATGGTTTTCATTAGAGTATTGAAATAAAGTAGAAGACATGCCTGTGGATGCAATGTTACTTTCACCTAGGACTGGGAATTGCATTTGGGTCGTGGGAATCCCCCTTTTAGCCGAATGATGTGACCGTACGTGCCGTTCATCATTCCGTACCCATCGTCGGTTTTGAAAGCGTATTTCTTGGCATTAGGCGGACAATGGTTGCAAATACATATAAAATGTTTGTCACCTTTTTTTTTTTTTCCTTATTGGGTACCTTCGTGAAGTGTCGTACGAATATATCATATTTCATCCCTTGACCCCCGATGACGACCATCTATTGACGTTGTTGATTTCCTCAACTTGACCTTGGGTAGGATCAAAATCGTCTTCATACAATTGCTTCTGGTTCTCCTCGTTCTTCTCGTATTATATGCTCTTGTTGATTTCCTCAATAAAGTAAAAGATGCGTTGGGCAGTCTCGAGCTCAACGTCATCGAGAAGATCGGAACGTCCTGGTATACTGTCTATCTTGCGTAGGCAATGGAGGTCTACTCAAAGATGATTCGCCTACATTTTTACGCTTTTGTGATGGCCGATCACCGGCATGACCACCACGAGAACTCTATACAATCGAGATTTTGAGACCGAATTTATATAGAATTGGACCGATTTTATAGCAAATCGGGCACAAAAACTAAAAATTGACGAGAATAGAGGAA